CATAGTCACACCTAGTTCCCCACACATAGTCACACATAGTCCCCCCACACATAGTCACACATAGTCCCCCCACACATAGTCTCACCTAGTTCCCTACACATAGACACACCTTGTTCCCCCACACATAGTCACACATAGTCCCCCCACACATAGTCACACCTAGTTCCCCCACACATAGACACACCTAGTTCCCCCACACATAGACACACCTAGTTCCCCCACACATAGTCACACCTAGTTCCCCACACATAGTCACACATAGTCCCCCCACACATAGTCTCACCTAGTTCCCTACACATAGACACACCTTGTTCCCCCACACATAGTCACACCTAGTTCCCAACACATAGTCACACATAGTCCCCCCACACATAGTCACACCTTGTTCCCCCACACATAGTCACACCTAGTTCCCCACACATAGTCACACAGTCCCCCCACACATAGTCACACATAGTCTCCCCACACATAGTCACACCTTGTTCCCCCACACATAGTCACACCTAGTTCCCCACACATAGTCACACAGTCCCCCCACACATAGTCACACATAGTTCCCCACACATAGTCACACAGTCCCCCCACACATAGTCACACATAGTCCCCCCACACATAGTCACACCTTGTTCCCCCACACATAGTCACACCTAGTTCCCCACACATAGTCACACAGTCCCCCCACACATAGTCACACATAGTCTCCCCACACATAGTCACACCTTGTTCCCCCACACATAGTCACACCTAGTTCCCCACACATAGTCACACAGTCCCCCCACACATAGTCACACATAGTTCCCCACACATAGTCACACAGTCCCCCCACACATAGTCACACATAGTCCCCCCACACATAGTCACACAGTCCCCCCACACATAGTCACACACAGTCCCCCCACACATAGTCACACCTAGTTCCCCCACACATAGTCACACATAGTCCCCCCACACATAGTCACACATAGTCCCCCCACACATAGTCTCACCTAGTTCCCCACACATAGACACACCTAGTTCCCCCACACATAGTCACACCTAGTTCCACCACACATAGTAACACATAGTTCCCCAGAGTAGTCCCACAGAGTAATACACACGTAGTCACATACAGATATATACAGAGTTATACATATTCAAACACACACATAGCCACACACGTAATTGCACAGAATCACATACACACACACTTGGTCACAGTCCCCCAGACACAGTCACCCACACACAGTCACAGACATAAACACAAGTACAAAAACATGTATGTATCCACACAGATGTACTCATTAACCCAAAGACTGATTCATTAAGCGTTTTGTTTACTTGTGATGAACTGACACCTTTTAACAAAAAAATTAAAATACTAATAACATGCTAGGCGAAGTCGTGAATCAACATGTGAACTGTAGCTGATAGTGCCACTTGGAATGTTCCAGACATTATCACAGCTAGGTGTCCTGGATAGAGAAAAAAAAAACAATGCAGTGGCGTAGTAAGGAAAAAACAATGCAGTGGCGTAGTAAGGACTGCTAATGTAGAGGGGGGGGGTGTGGGTTCGTTGTGAATACATTTAACGATCATACCATTCAAAATTAATTAATTAATTATATAGTTTATAGATTTTTTATAAAATACATTTTGGGTTCATAAGGATACTAAGCTAAAACCATTTATTAAAAATGACCTCTATTCCCCCACTCCCCACTCTTCCACCCCTCTCTTCCATACACATACACACATTTTAAAAACATCATGAAAGTCTTAAAAAAATCATAGAAAATTCCCCATCATTACTGAAGACCTTGAGCGTTTAAAGAGAACTCACGCGCATTAAGTTTACAAATTAAATACAAAATCAAATATAGGCCTACAAAACTAAAAAAAAAGTCACTTCCACAATATCATTACTGATACTTACTAATTATGACATCTGTCCTGTCTGTTTTTGTTTCTTTGGTTAGTTCTTTAATTTAAAAAAAAGAAGGTGAGTAGTTCTTTAAAAAAATATAAGTTGCATATAGACAAAATGAGGATACACCAGTCATAACATCAAAACAAATCCGCTGAGTTATAACTGCAATCATAGCAACTGAAAACTGATTTCCGATAAAATTACTGAGTTGCGGATTATTTAAACCAAATACAACTGCAACATGCTAATTTATTTTTTAAATAATAATATTTTTTTTCTTGTTTTGATAAGGTGCGGAAAGGTAGGATTCAATAACAGTAGTATGTTATTTTTTGTTCAAATTAAGACATGCCGCAAGATTATTATAAGTAAGTTTATAACTATTTACACCCTCAAAGAGGTGGAAAAAAGAGCAGTGTGTGAATTAGGGGGTGGATACAGGGCCGGCGCTACCTATAAGGCGAACTAGGCGGTTGCCTAGGGCGCTGTCCGTAGGAGGGCGCCAAAATGGGTTGGAAAAACAAATTTAAAGTTTGGGGGGGGGGGTGCAAATCGAAATTTTGTCCCCGGGCGCCTGGACGGGGCGCTACGCCTCTGATAATAAGGTGGCACGAAAAAAATTGCGAAGGGGGGCGCTTTTAATAAGTTTTGCCTAGGGCGCTAAATAACCTGGTGCCGACACTGGGTGGACGTGAGAGTGTTCGAGGGGGGCGAATGAAGATGTGTCTGGTTATTTGACTTTTTTCCTCAACATGTGACAGAGCTATTACCTAAACAGCGCTTAACTGTGCACAAATGTGAAAAAAAAAATTGTCCCAGCATTCCTAGATTCTTTTTTAATTTTGGTTTTTAGTTTCGTAAAATCAGCGCCCAGTCATGGATTTAGCTGTAAATTTGATCCGCGTTTTTATGTTGACAGAAATATTGTTTTCTTTAGCATCAGGGAGGGGGGGGGCTGAGTCTACCGCCCCCCCCCCCCCCCACCGAACGACATGGAATTTATATAGAAAACATGTCCGCCTCATCTCCCCCGGAAAATGTTGACCACCCCCCACCTCGGAGAAAAAAGTCTGGAAAAAACACTGTTTAGCATTCCTAGATACTATTTTAATTTTGTTTTTTTTTAGTTTCGTAAAATGAGCCCCCAGTCATGGACGTAGCTGTAATCTTGTTCCGTGTTTTTATTGTTGACAAAAACGTAACACTTCACAGCCAATGTGAAGCCGTACTTAAATTGTTTATTGGTTTATGGTTTGGTTGTAGGATGGGAGTGAAAACAAGGCTTTCCTTACAACTCCGTCTATACAGCAACAGATGGGCTTAGTGTTAGAGTACAACCCATGACCAGTATTATAGTACAATCCATGCCCTTTAATATAGTACAATCCATGACATATGTTATAGCACAATCCGTGACGTATGTTATAGTACAATCCATGGCATATGTTATAGTACGATCCATGAAGTATATTTATACAGTACAATCCATGAAGTATATTTATATAGTACAATCCATAAAGGATTTCATATAGTACAATCCATGAAGTATATTTTTATAGTACAATCCATGACCTACATTAAAGTACAATCCATGACCTACATTATACTACAACCTATGACATATGTAATAGTACAATCGACGATTGTATATTTATATAGTACAATCCATAAAGGATATTCATATAGTACAATCCATGAAATATATTTTTATAGTACAATCCATGACCAACATTATAGTACAATCCATGACCTACACTATGACATATGTAATAGTACAATCGACGACTTATACAGCCAAATTTGACCTTTACTTTATAGTACATTTCATGACAAATAGTTCATTGATTAAGTGTGACAGATTGTATTGTTTACTTTCTTAGAAGTGTAAGACACGGAACAACAAGATTAGCCAGGATTAAGGAAATAAAACTAAAAATAAAAGCTACGCAATTTGGAGCTACTTAACCTTCTAATCAGACTTTCAAACTTTCAAAAAAATTACACGTACTTAATCGTGGACTGATAGAATTTTCCGAGGGTTTTTTTATGTTAAAATTGTAAAAAAAAAAAAAGAAACTTCTCATTCGGAATAAAATGTGATGGTATAGCTATTGTGTTAACGCAGTTCTAAAGGTATTGCATCTTTTTTACAAAGGGTGACTCCCATCCCCTATCTTGGCTTCCTTGTTGCAACACATTAGTCTGGATATAATGGGAACAAATTCTCTTTCTCAATGGGCCACACAATTAGGTTAAATATGTTTAAAGATGTAACACTACAGAATATTTATGCTGCAATTGATGAAGACAGGTAATGTAGAGACAGAGGCAAGTGGTATAGATATAGGTAGTCTGGTAATAACAGGTAGTCTGATATACACTGATAGATGCAGATAAAGATAGGCAGGTGGGCACACACTTATATATGCAGGTAATGACAGGCAGGTGGGCACGCACTAACAAAGGTAGGTAAGGACAGGTGTTCCCATGACTTGCATACTATTGAAGTATCCTTTAACATTGTCTCAGCTTACTAGGAAGTGTGGACTTGATTCTATTTGGTTATATGTTATATGTTTTTCTATTATTATTATTATTATCATTATTATTATTATTTTTAATATTATTACTATTATTATTATTTTATTATTATTATTACTTTATTATTATTATTATTATTTATTATTACTTTATAATTATTATTTATTACTATTATTACTTTATTATTATTATTGATTATTATTATTACTTTATTAATATTATTTATTATTATTAGGTTACTATTATAATTATTGATTTTGTTATTATCATTTTTTTTATTATCTATTTATTTTATTATTTTTTTCTTCTATCAACCGTTAAAAATATTGTTATCAATTTGTAAATTGTTAGCTGAAATTGAGCTATTCTACATCTATACTTATGTTCTTACTAGTATAGCCTTATAGCCATCATAAATCAGATTATTTTATGGCCAAAATACTCATAAAATTACTAGTTAGATTTAACATGTATGTTTTAAAATACCATATAGCCTACATTTTAAAAAAAATATTGGTAAACGTATAGGCCTACAGTGCACAATTATTCGACTTCACGACTTACCACAATGTATTTTATTTCCAACCCCTGCACTTGTATCAATCATCAGAGCCTACAAAAGACATGGATTCTATAAAAAAAAGTACGTCAATATGCAACAAATGCCAAAATAGTAAATCAACTTAGTTATGTCTTACACTTGCTAAAGAAACATGTTTATTTAAGGTTGTAGAAGAATCCACGACAATATGCAACAAATAAGAGAAGGGTTTTCTTACCATCTCTGACTTAGTCTGTAGGCTACACCGCGTTTGTGAAATACAGCTTTTAAAACTTTCTTTGTGCCTTATTTTAAAGAAAAAGGTTATTTTATATTAATTAAACTTGTTTAAAAAATATCATTCCTGCAAATGTGGTCTGTTTTGATTGTAAATACGTTTTTTTTTAATGTATGAAAAGGGGGGGGGGGGGGGGTATAAAATTTTCTATAATAAGTTTAATAACGAAGTCTCTCACAAGCAAAACAGGTTGGGGTCTTGTGTATGGCGTTTAAGAATCGCTTGGTTAAAATAGGACACAAAACACCGGGCCGATGCTACTTCACAGGTAGTTGCTGGAAGATGAAATAATTTTATTTTATTGAAACTTCATATGAAAGTGTTCAAGATGTTTAAAATCTCTTTATGTCGTTTTTTTTCTTTATTAATTAAATTTTTTTAAATAATTTTATTAAATATCTGAACATTATATTAAAAACACTGGTCATTAAGTTCAAAGGGTTGCTTGAAGTCTAAATATAGTATATTTAATAGCTGACAACTTTTAACTTATTTAGCTTATTATTACTGCGTATATAGATGGGAGATCGCCCCAAACAACAGATGCTGAAAAAACAGGTTGCTTTGATATTTAAACAAAGATGTACGAAATATTTTGTAATTTTTTCAAGTCGTTTCATTTTTTTCTTTACCGGTTGAGGGGCGGGGGGGGGGGGGGTAATGTCCTGTTCCCAGACACATGACGAAAATCATACCTATTTCCATAGACTGCTGATTTATTTCTGAAAAAAAATAACAAAACATGCTTACGTTTTTAGCATTTACTGTTAATGTATGTATGTTTTTTTTCGAACTAACTACATTGACTGATGCTTTATTAGTGGCTGTTAATTATGTAGCTCTATTTTTAAAATTTAACAATATGATTTTTTTCTTATTGGTGTAAAAAAACACCAAATAATCAGTACAACATGTATTAGATCATTGTAACCAGATATATAAATTTTAAAACAAACTGTACCACAAAAGAAATTGTGTATGGCCAGCTCTTCTTGAAATATTTCCATAACTTCGTTTACATTCTCTTGTGGGGTTGTATTGCTTTCCTTCATACATTTAAAAAACGAGTTTAGCTCTCTGCAATTGAAGGATTATATTCAACTTTAGTGTATATGCTTTATTCAACTAAGCCTGTTTTTAATAAATAAAATAATGTCCATTTACCAATAAGTAAAGTAAAAGCGGTTACGATGATCATTATATTTTCCAAAAAAAAATTGTCACTGGGGAATTTTGAACACGATTTTCTTTTAAACAAGATTGTTTTATCTTTTCTCTGTGTTTTGTTTCTACTGGTTGCTTTCATTTCCGTATTATTCAAAAATCCTAATCATGTAACATCGCGGTGTGGGAAAAAAACAACTAACTCTAACTTCACTTTCTCATCTTGTGGTGAAGTATTATTAGCCGAAGCCTTGGCATACAAGAGATACAGGGGTCAGTTTTATAAACAGCCGCCTTTACTTTCCCAAACGTGAGTCGAGTACCCGTTAGAGCTGGGTAGACTCACACGGACTGAGACTTTCCTCAGCTTGTAAACATGGACAATAAACTCTATACCATTACGCACTGACACAACAGATGAGGACTGGGGTACACGGAGCTCAATATTGTCCAAGAAAACATCCACACAGCGAGTACCGTCCACTTGATTCACTGAAACAGTAAACACAATTTCAGTCAGTTTGAAGCCTTCAAGTTTCAATCTTAAATACTAAAATATGATTTGATTTTAAAATCGTAAAGTAAATTTCTATTCATGTTATGTACATTTATACAAATATATAGGCCTACATATAAGTATAGACATACGGCCTTTGATATATATATATATTATATATATATATATATATATATATATATATATATATATATATATATATATATATATATATATATATATATATATATAAATGTATATACATATATGTATATATATATATATATATATATATATATATATATATATATATATATATATATATATATATATATATATATATATATATATATATATATATATATATATATATATATATATGTATATACATTTATATATATATATATATATATATATATATATATATATATATATATATATATATATATAGGCATATTTCTCGATATCCCTGTAACTTACCAACTTTTACACGTGTTGTTGTAGAATTATGTGGGTTATCCTCTAAAAATATAATCAATTTATCAAATTAAAATAACTTTCACTCGTATCATAATGAACTGTATTAATTTAAGATACTGTGCTACATTTGATAAGTTCACCCTACCCCTTCTCACACATGCCAATAACCCTGCACTAACTAAGGGATAAACCCTTGGAGAAGACGTAAGCTAGGATTACTTACGGTATATGCTACGCCTGTTGTTTTTATTATACTATATTAAACGTTTACTCACCTAAAAATCTCTCAATCTCAGGATGAAGTTCTGTAAATTTAAAAAATTAAAAAATTAAAACATCATTATCATCTCTGATTCAGTCTTTAGGCTAGGCGTCGATTGTGCAATACAGCTTTTAAAACTTTCTTTATGCCTTATTACGTCACACTTTTGCATCACAAAAGAGCTATGTTAGAAAACGAATTTCAGCCGTTTTTTTCGCGTTTTAAAGAAAAAAAAGTTTTTATAATATTAATTATTAATTTACCACCCCCCCCCCCTCCCCCGAAGAGATGCCTGAAAAAAATAGTGTTGCTAAATGATTTCAAATCTCAAGTTAATGAAAGAAATAAAAAATCCTACCACAGGTTAGGTTAAGAGCGTCCAACTCTGGGAACACACGGTCTAGGATCTCTTTGACGTCCTCCACTGTGGCGTCCTCTAGATTGATGGTACATGTGAGGTAAGCGTGGAGGCGTCTAGAAGAAGAGTGGTTAACTTAATATTGCACGGGAGGAGTCAGCTTACCTAACTGGCGCAGTGTATAAAATAATGTGCACTACGTGTATATGACTAGAAGTGTTCGTGTCTAAGTCTATCTCCCTTTATCAATACACACATCCACACACACACATATATATATATATATATATATATATATATATATATATATATATATATATATATATATATATACATATATATATATATATATATATATATATATATATATATATATATATATATATAGTGAAAAAAAAAAGAGAAAAAAGCATCTTAAGGGGGGTTCGTGATAAAGTTTATATCTTTCAAAGTTCTTGTGAAAAGAAGAACAATACTCTTTTCTATACAGTTGTTAAAGCTTACAAAAATGTATTACGAACTAGACATTTTGATCATTTTTATTTGTATAACAATACCTTCCTTGGACTTAAGGGAACACATAAACCTTATCACATTTAAAATACCAAACAAGTTTTATATCTGACACTAATCCCAGATATAAAAATAGCTATTTCAAACATCCTGATCCGAAATAGAAAAGACGTTTGTTATGTTAACAATGGAAAGTATTCGCTCGTTTGTGACTAGACGATAATGTTGGGGTGGATTTATTCGTGTGAACTTAATATGAGCGAGGTGATACTGCCTAACAAGAATCAGAACACCGTAAAGTACGGAGTAAATTTTGGGCAATTATTTATGTATAAAGTAAAGTTCCCTTTTCGAACTTGACGGTCTATGTTGCAAGTGAAGTAGAGTTGACGTGTTTCCGTGATCTCGGAATATGGAGTGATTGTGTGGTCAGCACTATACCCAGCCATATTTTTTCATTAACGAGAAATAGGTACTCATCAGAGCTGGGTGGACTTTGTGACGTTCTTCTAACTTAAACCCGGATTCGAACTCGAGACTTACGGGTTAGCAGTCTAGCGCTGTACCGCTAGACCACGCCTTTCAGTCATGAATAAACAAACATAAAAGAAGACTAGACTATTGTAATCTCTACCTACTGGCATACATCAGACGCTGGTATTTCTTGACTCGACATGAACGTCTTGAGGCAGACGTGTTGATTTCTGCAACACTCTGGTTTGGCTGAACACATAAATTGTAAGCATGAAAGTGTTACAGACGTGCTTAGATACACACTCGCACATACTCAAATACACACACACACACACACACACATATATATATATATATATATATATATATATATATATATATATATATATATATATATATATATATATATATATATATTAGTGTTTCCAGAAATGACGTCACACTCGTAGGGGGGGGGTTGTGACGGTGTGAGATGAGGGGGAGTTCAGATGGAAAGACGTCACACTTTTGCATTATAAAAAAAGCAATGTTAGAAAACGAGTTTTAGCCTTTATTTCGCATTTTAGAAAAATGTTTTAATAAATTGTAATAAGAACGGATTAAAATACTCTATGTTGACAGAGTTCAGACAAGATTTTAGAAAAATATCGATGTTTTAAGAAATATTCAACTGCAACTTTGAAGGGGGGGGGGGGGGGGGGGGGGGGGGTTGTGACATATTTTTAGTGAGGTGGGGTCTGGCTTTTGTAACGATGTGTGACGGAGGGGGGGGGTGAAGTAAAAATCGTCAAAAAAGCTTGACGTTATTTATGGATGACCATATATATATATATATATATATATATATATATATATATATATATATATATATATATATATAATATATATATATATATATATATATATATGCTCTTATAAGAACATATCTCAGACAAATAAAAGTTAACGAAATATTCCAAGGATATTATTTCTTTTATGTATAATTAAGGAGTCAAATTATCTAAATGCTAAATTCCATCAAACAAAATATACAACGACTTAATGTCTCAAGACAAATATCACACAATATATTCACACACAAAAATACAAAAACTTACATGCTCGAATGTACGAAAATAAATAAACATACACCAGAAAAAATATTAATCGATGCATTTCCTACATCAGACTCCTACGATTATACCAGAAGAGGTTCCAGCAGCTTTAAAAAGTATACTAGACTAGTCTGATATAGAAAGTGTGGTTCTACATTAATGAATTGTACAACATTGTCGTAGTGATAGATTCACAAACGGCATAACTGCTAGTCGAGAGAGGTAACGAATAGATCAATACGGATGAGACAAGCCGAATATGGCAACTACTGCCCGGTAGGTTTACAGAGGTGTTCTCAAATTGTGGGTCACCAGGAACTTCAGAATTGACAGCTCAATATGTCACTTGAATAGAGGAAAATTGTTTTTACAACAGTGTTCTCAAATTGTGGGGGCAACAAACTCTCTTCAATATTTTAGCCACCAATGCTTTAATAAAAGCAAGTTCGTTTTATTATTATTTTCGGTACATTTAAAAACGTATACATTTTAAAATATTTGTTTCATTTATATTTTTAATTTTACCCTCAGTGGCTTATACGATAACTCTGTTCTGTGTTGCGGGATACTATACAAATAGTAAAATAAAACACACACACTCTCATCTCGCTCTCCCTCTCTCCCTCTCTGTTACGGGTCAGTTGTAGGTTAGACTAGAATAGGATAGAATGATCTAGAATTAGGGGAGAGTGAGTGTGTGAGTTGAGTTTTACCCTAGAATATTGCTAACCCCGGTGTGTTTGTGTATTGTTATCCCAAGGTCGAATGCGGTATAAAAGCTGGAGTGAATGGTTGTTAGGGGTTAGTTAGTTGGCAGGGTTAGGTCGAGGGCTATGTTGTAATGTGATATGTGAGACCTAATAAACGTATCGAACGTTAACACGAGTCGTTTCTTGAATTCGAATCTAACCCGGACGTAACACCCTCTCTCTTTCTCAATATATATATATATATATATATATATATATATATATATATATATATATATATATAGATATATATATATATATATATATATATATATATATATATATATGTGTGTGTGTGTGTGTGTGTATTTATATATATTAATAATAACTAATAAATAATAACCTGACAACTCTTTTAAAAACTAGGGACGGTACAGTCGAGTGGTAGAGCAATCTATTTACGTTAAGATCGTGTGGAAATCTCATTTAACCGTGATCGAATGGGTACCTAACCAGTCATGGAAAGTAAAGGGACAGAGCGCCAACCTCTCAGTTTCTAGATGTGACAAGGTTCAAATCATTCCATTGTCAAATACATGAACTCTACTTCATCTGCAGAACAAAGCATCAGATTTAAAAGAGTGCTAACTGCATAACTTGAATATAACACCATGTATACATTCGAAAACAAATTAAATACATTTCTTATAAAGAATAACATAGTAAACAAACAAATTAGTTGTAGAAATATATATCTCATCTGAACGATCATGCACTTTGGCGAATAGTGTTACTACTCTTTCATCAAAGAAGATTAACGATCACAAAATATAAGTAATAAATTATTGGGTCCTGTGCAGACTTTTTAGGAACCGCTGGGTTGAATATCAGTTTGAATTGTGTTTTATTAGGTGGGCGGCGATACAGGAACATGGGGCTCTAGTACGCTATGGTTCAGTATAAATTTACGTCGTTGGTTCCTTGTTTCCATTTTTATGTGAAGGTTGTAAATGGTAGATAAGCTGTAGATACTTCTAGCTGTACGAGAGTCTTGAAACTGTAAACATAAACTTTGTGGATAGTCACTCTCTTTGTTATAAACTTTGAATAGTCTTTCACTCTCACATAAACTTTGTTGTGAATAGTATTTCGTAAATGAATTAGCTGTTAAATTTATGTATTGCTACTGTTTAATGGTCACTTTTCCAGTCTGTTTTACGTATCGGTGTTTTTGAGTGTTAGACACTTTTGAGAAGTGATCTTCGAAGTCGCAGGCAATGCTATCTTTATCATCAGCATGGTGCTGGTGCATAAAGCGGATCTAGCCTTTAAAAATGGCGGTCGGTGTCGCTAGATATATTTATAATATAAATATATATTTTTGAGGGGTTAGAAACAGGCTTAAATGCCGATCATATATATGTCATATCCAGAGGCGTAGCGAGGGGGGGGGCGGGGGTGCGGACCGCCCCGGGTGACACCATTTAGGGGGGTGACACCAAGGCAAAAAATAGCAAAATATATAGAGAAAAATTTGAGGGGGGGGGGTGCAAATCTAAAGTTTGAGGGGGGGGGGGGGGTGGTGCAAATCGAAAATTTGAAAGTTTGTCCACGGGAAGGGTCGCTACGCCCTCTGGTGGATGACACCATTAAGTGCCGCACGGGTGACACCCGACCTCGCTACGCCACTGGTCATATCTATACAAATACACTTTTACAAATCTAAAGAAATTTTTTTTTAAATAAAATTAAAACATCACAAGATAAATAAAACTTTTTGTAAACTTTTGATAGGCCAAAATTTTTCTTCAATTTTTTTTGAGGAATAAACTGCACATGCCCCCAGCCCTGACCCAGCCCCTGCCCATACCCCAGCCCATACCCCAGCCCCATCCCCTGCCCAGCCCTGCCCTTGCCCACCCACCCCAGCCACCCCTTATTCGCCAACCTTTTTTTTTCCTCATTCAAGATAAGCAATATCGGTCACAACACAGGTGGCAGTCATAAGGAAATATATTGTAGTTGTGTAGTTGTTCAAATCTCTTTGTCCTGGTTATTCGCTGTTAATCGATCAACATTCGAACAACATTCGAACAACATTCGAACAGCATTCGATCAACATTCGAACAACATTCGAACAACATTCGAACAGCATTCGATCAACATTCGAACAACATTCGATCAACATTCGAACAACATTCGATCAACATTCGAACAACATTCGAACAGCATTCGAACAACATTCGAACAACATTCGATCAACATTCGAACAGCATTCGAACAGCATTCGAACAACATTCGAACAACATTCGAACAGCATTCGAATAACATGCGAACAACATTCGATCAACATTCGAACAACATTCGGGATATTTCAACAGGCAAGACATCAGATTTCAACGTCTAATTTGAAGCGCCCTCGATCAAATGTTTACATTGAAAGCGAATAGTGGAACAAAATGAAACAAAATAAACGTATTTGTTGAGAAGTGTAAGAGAAAATTCGTAAAAAGACTTAACTGTGTAACTATTGACCCCACACACCTATTCTTACCCCCCCCCCCCAAGATTTTGGTTTAGGACCGTGACGTTGATGCAGTGGCGTAGCGAGGTCGGGTGTCACCCGGTGCGGCACTTAATGGTGTCACCCCCAGAGGGCGTAGCGACCCTTCCCGGCGCCCAGGGACAAATTTTCAGTTTTCGATTTGCAACCCACCGCCCTCCAAATTTCTATTTGCACCCCCCCCCCCCTCCCTCCACCCTTGTCGGGTTTTGTCAAATTTGCTCTTAAAAGATTATTTAACACTCGAATTAATCACTTAATTAAGTGGAATTATCATTTTTCTCTTTATATTTAGCTATTTTTTTTGCCTTGGTGTCACCCCCCCCCCTAAATGGTGGTCACCCAGCGCGGTCCGCACCCCCCCCCCCTTTCCTCGCTACGCACTACGTTGATGTACCATTGTTCAAGACTTGGACTTGACGCTGTGGTGTATGGGGATAGGGTGTTGGGTGAGGTATTAAACTGATTAATGTAAGATCCCCCCCCCCATCCCTTAGTTTTTAAAAGATACTTCGCTGTAAATCTCTGCACCTTGTAACATCCAGACTTCCAGTCTACAGTAGTTAACGACCTACCTGTCTACAAAAACAGAAATCCAACAGTACCACAAGTCAGAGGCGTCGAGAGGCGGGGGCAAGGGTGACACCACGACGAAAAATTGCAAAATATATTGAAGAAAAATGCTTTTTGCAGTTCAGTTACTGAATAATTAGAGTTCAAAAGTCTTCTAAGTACACAATGACCATCTTGATAATACATACACACTCAAACACAAACACACACACACACATGTATATATATATATATATATATATATATATATATATATATATATATATTATATATGTGTGTGTGTGTGTGGTGTGTATGGGGGGACACACCATGAAGTGCCGCACCTGGTGACACTAGACCTAGCGACGCCATTGCTACGAAATGACTAAGTATATGCGTATGATAAACCGTGCATTAACTCCACTCGAATATCAAAACATCAGTGTAGAAAAACAACCAGTTAAAATTTCTAATGATTCAATGGCTTATTCCTGTACAATTGTGATTTCTGATGAGTGAATGATTCCCCCCCCCCCCCCGAAAAATTGTTACCGCCCCCCCCCCCCCCCCCGAACGAAATGAAATTTATATAATTTATATAGAAAATATATACTTTTAACAGTGTCCGCCCCCCCCCCCCGAAGAAAGTTTACCGCCCCCCCCCCCCCGAAAATTTCAAGTGCCCCCCCCCACCCCCCTCCCCCGGAGAAAAAAGTCTGGAAGAAACACTGGCAATGAAAGAAAAGTATGATAAAACCCTGGTCGAACCTACATAACAAGGGTGGCATTAGAACTTCAATGGAAATAACTCCGCTTTTATAAAATTATAAGTTCTAAAACATTATTTCCCTTTAATTACAAAGCCTCACTGTTTTTAGAAATGAAGATGAAAGAGGGAGGGGGAGGTCGGCCGTATCTATTTGCGGACTAAGAGATAGGGAAAATAAATTAACAGCCCTAATTTTTAAAACAAAATTACATGCTTGTAGTTATTAAAATAGCTACCTTCGTCAACATCGATTTGCCTGCAGAAAATAAAAAGCTACTGGATGCCTGCGGTAAAGCCTGGTGGCCAGATCAAAATAAAAGCAATAAACCAAAAGTGTTGACGTTTTCGCAAATATCGAGATATCCTTTAAAGCTTCATGGGTAGATAAATCGGTAGAATATATAGAAAAAGAAACATTTCGTAAAATTATACCGTGATTACAAACAGATCTGATAGAAACGTAATCAACAGCTAATGCTTAAGAGATCATCCATGTAATCAGTGGCGTAGCGAAGGGGGGGGGGGGGCGGACCGCACCGGGTGACACCATTTAGGGGGTAGGGGGGTGACACCAAGGCAAAAAGTAGCAAAATATATAGGAGAAAAATGATAATTC